AACAAAAAAGGGGAAAGTCTACTTGGAATCTCTTGGGAACATTAAATGATGCCTTTCTTAATTGAAGAATAGGAATACCATAAATTGGCACCCTCTTTATTGTCTTCCCACTTATTCTAGAGCCCAGACATGTGTGAAGATGATAAAATTGCCATTGTAATGATACTGATTTTCACAACCTTTCTTGAAAAATACACCTAAGTAGGTGTGATGGCTTATGCCTGTAGTCCTAGTACTGGAAGGATAAGATTAGTCAGTGCCAAGAAAGCCTGGGCTACATAGTTCCATGACAGCCTGGGCTATGAGTAAGATTCTGTCTCAAAACTAAACTAAAATAAGAAAACATAACAGGAAAATACATACATTCCGATAGGATTATTTCTTAATTGTTCAGCAACTAATATAAGAAACACATTGTTACAAAATTGCATTAACTTGCTGTACTGGCTGGTTTCATGTGTCAACTTGACACAAACTAGAGTCATCAGAGAGGAAGGAGTCTCAGTTGAGGAAATGCCTCCATGAGACCTGGCTGTTAGTGGTCAGTGGGGGAGGGCACATTATGTTGGGTGGGGCCAACTCTTGCCTAATAGTCCTGGGTTCTATAAGAAAACAGGTTGAGCAAGCCATGAGAAACAAAATAGTAAGAACCACTCCTATGTACCCTCTGTATCAGCTCTTGACTCCAGGATCCTGCTGTTTGACTTCCTGTCCTGACTTCCTTCAATGATAAACAGCAACATTGAAAGGCATGCCAAATAAATAACCTGAACATTTTGGTCATGGTGTTTTGTCTTAGCAATAGAAAGTCTAATTAGGAAGACTAGGACACTTACATTTCCTGAAAACCAGAGATGGGTCCCCAGACATGAAAGACACCAAAATCCTATGAACAAGATCATCACTACCAGCAGCCATCTGATTCACTCTGCTGGTAAGTTTTGGCAGGCACTGCCAGCTCTGCACAAAGGGAAGAATGCAATGAAATCTGCTCGTTTCGTGAAAAGCACATGCTAACTAGCTTTTGCTCAGCCTGACGATACTCCTATGCAAACAACATCAGGGAGGCAGGATGTTTTCTGCCTCAGCTTCTCAGTTTTCAGCTCATGGTTCACTGTCCACGTAACGTTAAGGTAAGGAGTGTATGGTAGTGTGAAAATGATTATGTTAGGACCTGTTGTTCCAGGAAGTCAAGAAGTGGGGAAAAGAAACACCTTTGAAGTGCATGACTAGAGCAGATTTGTTCAATCTGGCCACACAACTCAGTTTGGGCCACCTCCTAATAACCCACTCAATGATGAATTCTGCAATAAATTAATCTAATGACATGAACAGAGTCCTTATCAATGATTTTGCGAAAGCCCATCCAATGGCAATCATGCCATTAACAGCAGCTTGTTGGAAGGATGGCAGATACTTCATATTTCACTTCTTTCTCATGGTTGACCTCTAATTAGGAAAAATGTGTTCATTCTGAGTGCTTCTGCTCCATCCTCAGTGGTGAACTTAGTCAAATTAGCCCCTCTGTTAAACATCAGGCCTCCTCCCACACTGATTTCTGTCATTTGGAGTTGGGCTTTTTGCTGTAGTTACTTTTTCATAATAGAAATGAAGTATTAAAGGGTTTGAAATAAAAAGGGAAATTATCTAAGTAATGTCAATTAGTTCAATGATTCCTCCATTTCATTGTTGTCTGCAATATCCCGACTAGAGTGGTCCCCAAATTAACTAAGCATGCAACTTTTTCCCTTGCTACCACTATAGAAGGGCTTAGAAGGATGCTGAGGCATCAGAAAAACAAGAGTGGAATGAAATGCAGACTTTCTAAGAGAGCAGCAACAGGTAAGAGCACTGGAGCCTGTCTGAGAGCTCAGTCCAAGCATTTCAGTGCATTATTTAATTCAGCCCACCACTCTCCCTGACATTTTCATGTTCCTAGTTTTCGAAGACTTAACCATGTTGTTTCAGCCATGTGGCCAAACACTGAATCCATGCACCAGAATTTATGGTGACGCCTGAGAATCTGACAGCTAAATGTGATGTGAAACCAGAGTTAAGTACCACGATGCTGCAGATTCTAGAGGGAGGTGCTTCTACTCAAATGCTTTCTGAGCCAAGCAGTAAAAGCGTGAATGGTAGGCACTATATTCCCATAACTTCTAAAAGCGTGTCTGAATATTTTACTAGACAATGAGGAAAACAATACATATTAGTAAGCATCAGCTGCAAAGACTCCTTGTTCACACTGTATCACAATGACATAGGGGTCAGAGTTGAAAGCAAGTATCTGGCTTTCAGCTAACTACTAATTTAAAACTACTGGTGGTGTCAACACATGCTAGTTAGTACTCTGATTTGTGAACAGGGCTCTGTGATGTGGTAGGATCCTCTCATATTAGGGACATTTGAAACCACCTATTCCATGTCAACAATTTCTAGAGCTCAGTCCTGACTTCTAAAGTGTTCATACTCTATTAGGAAAACAAAACAAAGGAAACAGATAAGTAAGTCAAAGGATAAGCACAAAGGAGAAACAAGAAGCAAGGTGGGTAAATATGACAGACAAGGTGGATTTTATAGCATCAGGAGAGTCTGACAGTAACTATAGTTAGTACTAAAGATGCTGGGGACTACACCCTGGAACATTAATTACTAAGCTCCTGGCGGAGATTTTGTTTGCCTGGTGTGCTGAAGAAACAAAGATCAGCGTCTGGATAAGAAAAGAGAAGAACATCAATAGAAACTACCAGAGGCACAGGAAGGGAAAAGGACATTGGTTAAAACTATTACAGCAGCACTATTTGAGGCAAGAAAATACAGACATCTGCTTTGGACTTTAACAATTCGTTCTGGCGGCAGAGGGAGAACTGTGGCAGCATGAAGACCAGGAAAAGGTTATGTTCACAGCTCAGGCAGGAACAGATACTAGCCTAGAATGGGCAGCACAGTGGCAGGGAAGAAGTGCAACACTGAGAATAATGCATTGTTATTTCTAATGGATTCTATGTAGGATACATAGAAACAAAGACGGTGACTAGACCTAACGTTTGTGAATTTGGACCTTAGTAAATCTGTTGTAGATGAATTCCTCGCCCAGCGAACTCCCAGTGGGCAACTGTGTGAAACCTGTTAAGCATCTAACCAAAGAAAGATCTTCATGGAGGAAAAAAAAAAAAAAAAAACTGGAATAACTGGAATGCATAGTCCAAATGACAATGATTTATTGAAGCCCATGTTTTTCCTGACATGAAGCATGGCATGCAGAGCATGCCAGCATCTAGATTCGGGCAGGAAAAAGAGCTTGTCTCCTCAAGGTCATTCCTATCACTAGAGAATAACTGTCCGAGGTTTAAAAAATTCCCTGGTTTTGCCATAGTAACTTAATACTGCTTATAATAGTTTTAAAATATGTAGACCTCATTCCATCTTCAAAAGAACTTTCTACTAATCTTATTAAGTTTCTGTACTTCAACTACTCTTAATAAAACATATCAATCTGCTACTTCTAGATTATGTACATCTACCTTGTCATGAATAAGACTAACATAAAGTTTTGCATAACTTAATAACACACACACACACAGTTCAATAAGAGAAATATAACCTCATGTGCACTCTTCACACATAAATTTTGTTTAACCCTATTAGCATAACTTAGAGTTGACTGTGTACATATTTTCTTGCTCTAGTTCCTTTTTTCTTTTACTTTTGTTATTTCTAGACCCAGTAGCACAGACACCTTGAACTTGCTTTGCACCAATGCTGGCCTTGAGCTCCTGATCCTGCCCCCACTTCCCAAGTTCTGGGATTACAGGATTGTGGCACCATGCCTGGCCTCATTCTTGTCCTCCTTCTAAAGGCATGTCCCCTATTTGCCTTTTCTCACAAATTGTGACAAGTCATTTTCAGTTACATCCTGTATGAGTAATAACTGAATGTCAATTTCTAAGCTGATCTTTAAATACCTATTTTGTACATTGTACACATTGTATTTTTTTATTGTAACCTCCATTTACCTTTTGGTCATTGTGCAGAAATATGTATCAGTGATTTCAACATTTGAGGACAAATTTACCTCTGTATAAACTTATCCAATAAGGGTAATAATTAATAAGGGTTAAGACTTCCTAAAAATTAATGTCTATCTACTGCAAACTGTTTTCATCTGACTCCATAGGTTAGTAATTCTGATTTTAAAAGATCTTACATTTGGAGCTTTAGCAGTGGTAAATGCCCATAATCCTAGTACTAGGGAGAAAAGCTTGGGTTATGAGATCCTCACAAAACAAAACAAAAAGCAACAACAACAAAAACCAAACCAAACCAAAACAAACCAAAACAAAAACAGACAAAAAAACAACCCCTAAAGTTTATCTTCCTTAACTGGTATTAGCTAGACATTCATGCTTTTATTAATTGTCATAGAAATATGGTAAAGAAAATTATGTATGAAGCAGCTAAGTTTAGCAAAATACTGAATTTTAAAACTACCTTCTAAATGGAAGTCAAAAGTCATCTGAATATTAAATAGAGTGTACGTAAAATTATTGATTTTCCTCTGGGAATTCATTTGATTTCAAGGAAAGAAAAGCTATTCTAAAACAAGAAAATACTTATTTAGAAGCTTATAGAAACTACAATAATATTTATAATAATATTTAAAGAAGTATTTTGTTACTAGATGATCCAGAGGTTAAGGTTTTTAATAGATACCCACTCTAACTCTTTAAAACACTCTTAACAAGTAGAGGAACTAAAAGAAAGCCACACTAGATACCAATAGCTTTCTCAGGTGATTGTAAGGAAACAAAACAGAATAAAGTTCTCTATACAAACACTTCCACACACCTTCGTCTTCCTCCCCATGTGTGACTGTGTGGTCCACATTTCAAGTACAAAATACAAGCAGACTTTCATTAAGATGTTGCCACAGTCTAAAAGCAGCAGCACCTCTGACTGAGTGCCTGAAGAACTGACAGTCTGAGATACTTTATCCTTACCTCTGTAATGGTAATGGAAGCTGGAGACTTTGCAACCTTTAAATGCACACTTAACTGGAAGGGACTTTTATCTCCTTGTAAGAAGATCTCTACTTTGAAACTTTAACTCATCTCAAATTTTCCAAGAGTTCTAATCACAGTCCTGCAGGGAAAAATAATACAGAGCATTCTGGAACCACTTCCTGACCTCTGTGTAGATATAATGTTACACACGAGTGCTCCTGAGTTCCCAGGATGCAGAGGCAAAGACATATTGTTTCATCTAAATTTTACTAGCTGCTGAAATCCATACCTTCCTGATGGATGAGGATAGATTATAAACCATGTAGAGATCCCAAGGCACCAGCAGAGGAACATAGCTTTTATTTTCCTGACGATGATTTTCTAGGATTTTGGGGTGAGTCCTCACGGCCTCAATCAAGGTTGAAATTCTTAGTGAAAACCACATAGAAGGTGTTCTTCCCTCCATTATTTCTGTCCCTCTGAATCTGTTAAAGCATGAAAAGTATCTCAAAGAATAGTGCCACAGTAGTTCTATTCTGTTTTATGTTTTAAGTGAGTCTCCAAAACACATAAACCTAAAACCCTGTAGATTACAGTGTACAAGATATGGTGAAATCAGGTTAGGACTTCTGGATTCAATTGTAGCGGAAACAAGAAAAAAGACAGATTGAAATAATAATAATAATAATAATAATTAAAGAATAACATGATTAACTACAAACTTATAGGGGCAGCAACACAGAAACAAAGATGTGTTCTTATAAAAATTCAAAATTAAATGAGGGGAAAGAAGATATTTGGGAGAACCCACAATGGGCATCCAAGAAAAGTAATCACAAAATTGTCACCAGAAGGGCCTTATAAGCAATGGGCTTCTCCCTCTCTGAACATGGACATGAGAATTAAGTCTACCATAGAAGGTGTCAAAAGAAAAATCACAGTACTGTATTCACAACATAATTTTATTTCAAAGAATACACACATTCTTAGGGAAAGAATCTGGAAACAGACTGGCAAATTAAAATGACCTCCTCTAGTATAACAGCTAAGTTAGTAGTAATTTCACATATGCTCTCTGATTTAAAACTCTCAATGGTATATATTACTTCTATTAACTATGGCTCTGAGGATAAGATTTAGAATGTACTTAGGAAGTAAACTGGTCTATCAAAGTGGTAGAAATAGATTCTTTTTTAAGATCCATTATCTTACCAGCACTATGAATTTGGCTAGGTTTCTAGTACCAGGTATGATTTCCCTCTTATTCAGGAGGACCTAGGTCCAATAAACAGAGCTGTTGTTTACCAATGACAAGTGAGCACCACTATTGCACCTTTACAAGTGTCTTAAAATTCCGTCATCATCTTACCATGCTGTTGTGGTTCACAGATGTCACAGCTGGTCAGGACTATCAATTGCTCCCTTCTCATGGCCACTTGCACAGTATTTCATGGTACTATGGAAGATAGAAAGCAGGAAGGTGGCTTTCAGGTTAGATTAAGCTCAAATAATCTGAGCCCCTTGTGTTTACTGTGTGGTGGTGTCTTCAGCAAGAGCAACAGCAACAGTCTATATTGTCTTGAGAGTCAACTGAACTCCCCTGACCAAGCAAAGTGAATTTTCCTGTGCCTGGTAATGTTAGCTGTGGTTCTTGTGGGGAGCACTGTCAGCCTAAGAGGCACAATTTCCTTTAGATTCATATATTATTTATGTATATCATATGGCTATATTGTCTTATAGATATTGTATGTAATTTTAGGTAAATATAAATTAATCTTATCCTTATACCCACAGGTAAGTGACGTTATTACCCCTCATCTAAGAAGCTTCTTTTTACAGCACATGTAGACTATCACAGAAAGCCACAACTAGTCATAATACAGCAATCAAAAGATTGTGGGGAGCTCAGCACCATTAATAAATCTACATCAGACCTCCTGCATCTATAGCTCAGAAATATCTCTGAAAAATAGAGATATTAGAAAAGCCAGAGTACTGGGAAGTCTGGTGTGGCAGTCTGTCTTAGAAATGGCTGCATCAATAAGACCAGAACAATGGTAATATCAAAACCTAAGTTAATACAGAAGAAGGAAAATGTCGTGGGGTCCTGCCCCTAGACAAAGAACTACAGGTAACAAATGACTGCTTAGAGAGTGCAATTAGCCTCTCTCAGGGATAAGCCCACTAACTGGCTATCTAATACAAAGTGCTTATCCCTGAAATAATACACTTATGAACAACAAAAACAGACTCAGCAGGTTATATTTATATATGTGCACATATAGAGAATTCACTGTGCAAGGGTAGCAGGCACCCAGACCTTAGCAGAACTGATACCATGATGGAGATATCACTCAGGCCATAAAACTCAAAACACTGTAGCACCACTTGACAAAATAAAAACAAAGACCGAATACATCAAAGTTCACACTTCTGGGAAAGTCCTTAAATGTACTAACCTTGCATTTTGGCTGGAGCAATAACCAACTGTTTCTGGTTAAGGGGTTTTCCTAACTGAGGGGTGTCAATGCAGGGTGTGGTTTTGTGCTCATCCTGAAAAAGGATGGGAGATAAACTGGGATCCTGGATACCCAGGGCAATTTAGATTGGTGGAATTTTCTTCTATGATTTTGTTGAAAATCTTTCTGACTGGGTTACCTTGCTCAGAATGGTTTCAATTAGATCCACACCACTAGAGAAGTTAGGCAACAAGGAGGACTCTAAGAGAGACACACATGTTCCCCCGGAGAAGGGGAAAGGGACAAGATCTCCTGAGCAAATTTCAAGCATGGGGGGAGGGGAGAAGGAGCTATGACAATGAGAAGGGGAGAAGGGGAGATGAGGAGGGGTGAGGAAGACATGAGGGAGCAGGAAGGTTGTGAGGGAGAAGAACAAAGGAGAGCAAAATAAGAGATACCATCAAAGAGGGAGCCAGTATAGGTTTAAAGAGAAATCATGCCCTAGGGAAATGCCCAGAGATCTACAGGGATGATACCAACTAACCATGTAAGCAACAGTGGAGAGGCTGCCTTAAATGCCCGCCCCTGATAATGAGATTGATGACTAACTTATATGCCATCCTAGAGCATTCATCCAGCAGGTAATGGAAGTAGAAGCAGATACCCACAGCTAAACACTGAACTGGAATCCAGTTGCAGAGAAGGACGAGTGATGAGCAAAGTGGACAAGACTGGGCTGGTGAAAACCACAGAAACAGCTGACCTGAACAAGTGGGGGCTCTTGACCTCCAGACTGATCACTGGGAAACCAGCATGGAACTGATCCAGACCCCCATGAATGTGAGTGTCAGTGAGGAGGCCTCAGAAATCTATGGGACCTCTTGTAGTAGATCAGTACTTATCCCTAGCATAGGAATGGACTTTGGGAGCCCATTCCACACAGAGGGTACTCCCTCAGCCTAGACACACGGGGGAGGGCTAGGCCCTATCCCAAAGGATATGACCTGGGGAGCAGAAATGGTATGGGATAGGTAGGGTGTTAGTGGGGGAGAGGGGGCAGGGGAGGAGAGGAGAGAGAGGGAACTGGGATTGTCATGTAAAACAATCTTGTCTCTAATTTAAATAAAAAATGGAGGAAAAAATAAACAGTGGGGGGGGGGAGAAAATCTTTCCTGTGCCTTTGACCTAGGTTTCTTCTCCTTCCTGTATTCCTACTATGCTTAGATTTGGACTTTTCATATTGTCCCAGATTTCTGAGATGTTTTGTGCCAGGATATTTTAGATTTAGTACTTTCTTTGACTCAGCTGTCCATTTCTTCTATCTTGTTTTCAACACCTCAGACTTTGTCTTCCATGTCTTTTCATCTTTTGGTTAGGTTAACTTCTGAGATTTTTGTCTGACTTTCTAAATTTATTGCTCTACTTTTATTTCAGTTTGGGTTTTCTTTTTTTTTTTTTTTTTTTTTTTTTTTTTTTTTTTTTT